GCCTCGGGTCTTTCAAGGAAGCGAAATCTAGAAATTGCTTAGATACCAGTGTGAAGAGGGCATGTCGGGGTGCAAACCCTGCGTAAAAAAGTCCCTTTAAAAAGTTCGCTAATTTGTCCTTAATTTCGTAGGCTAAATCTGGTCTGAAAAAGTACCTAGGAAGATCACTTTTCCACGCATGTGCCCCTGACTGTCGTCTATTGAACCCTGAAAACCGCAGGTTGCAATGACTTTCCGTTCAAAAGTTATAAGCTTTTCTTCCACGCGCTTTCTTTAAAAATTCCAATAGTAGATAGGTTTGCAAGATGAGGTATGGGCACTTCGAGCATGGGGGTCCCGTGGTGCCGTCAAAAATTTAGTTTTTAGCCCAAAACCTTGAAAAATAGTTTTGTATACTCAGTTTCTGACGCTGATTCTCAGAAACGATGCCTTAGTTTCAATATGTTTTGGCAGCGCATTTTTCATTCTTTTATGGAAACTAGCGGTTTTGGTGTTTTTGGCATCCGAAGTTTCTGAATTTTTTTTCACTGAAAAGTGCACTGTAAAAAGTTAAAACCTAGTTTTTCGTGATGAGCTCGACCTCCTCTTTCGAATGGCGTATAAATGAGCCAAAAATAAAAAGTACCGTAACTTTGAATTACCGGCACCTTACAGTAATCTCAAAACCAATAACGTCTAATAAGTACTATAGTTCATTTGAATAAATTTATATGCTCAAATCTTATGAAAAACTTACTTTACTTCTAAAAGTAAGTTTAAGTAAGTTAAGCACCATTCGGCAAACAGTAACAGTTGCAGCAGCCGCCATAGTCGAAAGGATCAGTCGGATTTCGTGCAGCGCGGAATCAACTGAAAATCGATACAGGACGAAACTCGTCGAACAATACTGCCGTTAAGAAATCACTCAGTATGCATTCCGCAGCTAAGTGAGTAGGATCAAATTTACAAAAAACAGTGATTAGGCTTAATACTGGCGTTGAAAGCTTCTCTTTATGGATTTCAAGAATTTCGAATTCTGAAATTTCTAACGTTTTCTCTTTTCGCGATATTATACAACTGCATGTATTTCTCTGCTCTCAAAATTGTAACAGCTGTCATCTTGAAGAATCAAACGTTATAAAACTCTTAAAATTAATCTGGTCTGTTCCTCACAAATTAGTAAGATTCAAGGCTACTAATTAGTAGTTAATATATTCATTGACATTGTTTAGTTGTCTATTTATTTGTTTACGGCACTAACATCGATAAAAGGAAAAGATTTACTCACATACTAACTTTCTCTTACTAAAAAGTCTGCTTATGACCATAGATAGAAACTTTTCCTTCGAAATTTTACAAGTGTCTATTTATGATCCTACCTGCAAAAGTGATCTAATATTACAAGAACATTTAAAGATTTTCAAGAAAAGATTCCTTAAAGAAAATACAAGAAAAGAGTCTTTAAAGAAAAAAATCTGATAAATTCTTGAAGGAGACAGACAGTCACATGATTCCTAAAAGAATCAATCAGATTTTTTTATGGCAAAATCATTGATTAGATCACGAGAAAAATCTAATTAAGCTTATGCTAAGATAAACCTGCTTTAGCTCTCGCAATCCTTTTGAGGGTATAAACCATCTTTATTCTCCATCTAATTTGTACTAGCTTTCCAGTAAAGGGTGGCCCAGAAGTCCTGACCCGATTTGAATAATAAATTTTTCTATAGTGAAACAAGTGATAGTAAATTTGCCTCTATGATGAAAATATGCAGTAAAAAACGCTCTACAAGATGACTATTGATTGACCCTGTTAACTCACCTAGTAAGGATGTTATAGGCTTAGAAATGTGCTTCACAAAAAAGAAAAATCAACCGTGAACCTGGTCCATATGGTGATGCTTTCAGTAAAAGTCCCATAACTTCATCAAAACAAAACGTTTTTCGATCGGATTTGTTTTGCTTTGATCAGAAATGATTGCTCTTCTCTACCTAGTTGCAACATCAAAACTTCGATTACGTTTTCCGTTTCTTGCGGGGTACACTGTTGGAAACAAGATTGTCGATTTTTGACATATTTTTGAAACTTGATTCTCGCGCACACCATCTGCTCTAAAAAGTCTTTTTACAAACCACAAGAAAGAGCACATTTGAAAGTACCTAACACAAATTGTGTTGTCGCTTTTGCTTCGCCTTTTTTTACGGAAATAATAGGAGAAGAAGAAGGTTAAGTAAAACAAGCCAAATCTACAAAGTTTTTATTTTTTTCGCCTCGTGTATAATTTGCTTAGTTTTCTTGATTGAAGTTCTGAAATTAAAGTTTAGGTACGGATTTTGTAGAGAATTTCACGACGCTTCTATTAAAAAAAGAACTTATTCTAGGGGACCTAAGGAACAAGAGTTAAAGCAAAAATACCGAGACCGGATTCACGGTTGATTTTTCTTTTTTGTGAAGCACATTTCTAAGCCTATAACATTCTTACTAGATGAGCTAACGGGGTCAATCAATAGTCATCTTGTAGAGCATTTTTTACTGCATCTTTTCTTCATAGAGACAAATTTATTATCACTTCTTTCACTATAGAAAAATTTATTATTCAAATCGGGTCAGGACTTCTGGGCCATCCTTTAAATATCCTGCTTTATGTATTTAACAAAAAAGAAATGAAAATAGACAGAGAAACCCAAGTAAAGAAAAAAAAGTGGTTGACTGGCGTCCGAACTAGTCTTAAAACTTGAACTTGTGTGATGAGATATTGTCTTTAGTATCAATTGGAGAAATGTGTATACTAATATATAGAAGAACATAGATTGTCAAATGATGTGATATCTGTCCTTGATGACGGTATTATATAACACGTACATTTCTAGTTAGTAAATATGTTGATATTCTTTTCAAACTCTGACTAAACTTCGACCAACTAGATCGCTATATTATTGTACGCTATATATAGTTTTCGAGAACTAAACGCGTCTGAAGGCCTAGACATTCTCGTAAGTCATCACTCAACGAGTTTTAATAAATTAAAAGCTTTTCTGCCCCGTTTAAACGAGTTAAAACAAATTTTTATTTAAAAATGTACATGTATTCTTTATTTTTAAACATGTTTACACCGCATAATCATCTATTTCTGGAAAATTCACGCGTTCTAACGCGTTAAATCTGATAGTTTAACGTATTAGAACGAGCTAGAGGAGTTTAACCCATTGAAATGGATTAATAGAATGCACAATTAATACGTTTGAAGTCGTTAGATTTGGGTATAAGTGAAGTATTTTATAAATTTAATTATGACGGATGTGAACGCATTATTATTTATGGGAATTAGAAACACGTTTGATACTCGCTCAAAGCAGTTAAAATCAACTATTTCAACTGAAATTCGTTTTGTACGTGTGACGAGAAAACTTGTTAAATTTCTTATGGAATCAATTTAACCGGATCTAATTTGCTACCAGTCGGAAGAAACGTTATCACGTGTTATATTTGATAATTTAACCCGTTCAATTTTCTGAAAAAAGTCTTTTAACGCCTGTGCTGTCAATCTGCGTTAGAGCATCAAGAATTATTTATTTCATGAGAATGTTCATCGCAACTTTAGACATCTTGTTTTCTCTTATCTTTGTCTGTTGAATTCAAAAAGATACAAAAGTGCTAGACGTGTTTATATATCTTTCCGAGGACATAAACCCTTTACATTGATTATAACATTATCGTGTTTCTTCAGATATGTATCTGAAGTCCTCCAACAGAAATAGACATTCATCGTCCTCGAGCACCATCTAGTCAATTCTGATGAAATATATTCTCCAGAGATTTTTGTCTTCTAAAGACATTTTCAAAGTAATTCTGCTGATAAAAATTCGTGATTTGTCTATGTGAGTTTCATCGAGGTTCTGGTTTGAAACTCTGTTTATTCGTAACTCTAACCAGCAGAAATCGACAAATCTGCCATTTTGTTTTTTCTTATTATTGTGTCATTGTATCGCATCACATGTTTAGAACATTTTTCGCAGCGCAGTAAGCGAACATCAACAAAACCAGAACTTAACTTCCATTCCACCTTTTGTACATAAATTGCTCCGTTGATGAATTGTGATGTTTCGGCTCAACAGCAACAACAAGGTAGCGGATATGAAGATAAAGAACGATTCGCCAAAACGCCATTAAGTATGTTAAATGACATTGCACGACACAATAAAGTAGGTTTTTCATATGAACTTTGTTAGGTAATTTAGGTCTAAAATGTTTTATTTTCTGCTTTTAGATTAAACCGGAATTTTGTCTTGAAAATGAAACGGGTCCAGCCCATGAGAAAGTCTTTACTGTTAAACTAAAACTTGGTGAAGATGAATCGTACGTTGGTGCTGGAAGTAGTATTAAAAAAGCACAACAAGAAGCAGCTAAAGTAGCATTAGCAGAATCAAGTTTATTAGCATCGACTAATCAAAAAAACAAAGAAACAAAGAAGTCAAGTATGTTTACTCTTTTATTGACCAACATAATCAGTGTTTTTAATAGCACGGTGAACCAGAGGATTTCCTACTGTAATCTACCATGTAAAACTGAAATTCACTATAATTTCTGCTGTGTTTCTGTCTGTAAATCTAACTGCGAAGTGAAATTTGATAGACTTGCGAATTCTAACCATAAAGTCCTCGCTAAAACGTTAGATGCACAGCGGAAGAATTCATCATAACAAAATTTATCTTAAAAATACTGAAGAGAGCTGCTTTCTGTCTGAGTAATCAATCATCACTGTGACGAACAACACTATGGATAAAACCCTTATGCTTACGTAGTAATATTGTTTATTTAGACTTACCAAGTACTGTAGAATTGAATACCTATGCTGCTAAACAAAATATCTCTACTAAATATGTGCTTCTTGATCAACAACCTTACCATCGTGGCTGGTGCTATTATTATCGTCTTTACATCGGTGTTGATACTGATTTATACTTTGATGGTGACGCTTTTACACATCAACAAGCTCGAAATATGTGTGCCCATAATGCACTGGAATATTTTAAACAATTTTCACAAACTGAACAACAATCAGCGTTTAATAACAACGACAACAATATCAAAAAGAAGACAAAATCAGATATATCCATATTATACGAACAAGCTAAACGTCTTCAATTACCAATTCATTTTGAAATTAATTTTATTTATGATCATCTAAATCAGCGAACGTTTCATGCTACATTTTATGTTGGTGATGAAACAGGTAGGTGAATATTTAACGATTAATTAATTATCAGACTAATTTTTATTGAATAATAGGATATGGTCAGGGTCAAACAAAACAAATTGCTAAACTAATGGCTGCTAAAAATATTTTGGGAAAATTGTCTTTATCATCTCCTACATTCACCCCAATTCGGCAACAACGTTCACCACGACGAAAAAAACCGACAAAGTGTTCATATCAGTTTAAACAACAAAAAGTTGAGGCACCCAACTATGGTCGAGGAACAATAAATCCTATAGCACGTTTACTTCAAATACAACAAGCAAAAAATAAAAAATTTATCTACGAGTTAATTAACAATGAGAATGATGAAAATCAGAATAAGAATGAAAATGGTGAAAAATTATTTTATTGTCGATTAACAGTGACGGTGTGTTAGCTAGCATTAAAAGTGAAAGTTTAACTTTTTCTATTATTTTTCTCATTGGTTCTATAGTCAGGTAATTCAGATGGAACTCATGATGTGAACGACGAACATGAAACAATTGGTAGTGGTATAAATAAACGTTTAGCTAAACGAAATGCTGCTGAACAAATGTTAGAAAAACTTGGTTATTCACAAACATCTGTTAACATATTGCCACCTCCACCACGAAAATCATCGCTTAAAGGTTCATCCACAATAAACAACAAAAACATCGACAATAATACAGAAAAAAAACATGTTAAATTTTTAACTGATGAACCAATAGAAAAATTATCGACAACTAATGAATCGAAAAATGGTGAGTTGGTTCTTCGTAAAGTTTTGAATTGACCGTTGATGACGATCACTGTGAACAGGAGGTACCAATTCACGCAATAAACAGGATATAAGAATGTATTTGAAATTACTATTTTTTTAATTTTACAGTACCATTTCTGCTATTGTGAGATAGAATACGATTTATTCTGGAAGAGCTTTCTACTCTAATTCTATAAACATCACGCTTATCTCGAATGTGATAACATTAAAAACAGGGCGTTAGTTTCTAAGCATAAGTGTAAAGCATTAAGTTATATATACCATTTACCCTCACTCTAGCTGAATTTAATTATTGAAAGGACGGATATCGGTTTCTGCTGAAAAATGGCCCAATATGATTTTGAGTGAAAATGATCGCAATTTTTGAAAGACAGAAGTATCTGGAAGTAAAATAGAAAGCATTTGCGATCATTTTCACTCAAAATCATATTGCGCCATTTTCCAGCAGAAACAGATATCCGTCCTTTCACTCATAAAAAAATAATCCTTTGTCTTACACATCATTTAGATAAACAAATTCATTCAATATTATCAGAAATATTTCTCTTTTTGTAGAACAAATAAACTTTTATAATCGATTTCTATGTGAAATGATTTTCAAATAAAGGGGAGGTCAGAATCACTGAAACGAGTTGACTACTAATCGCTGCTGGAACGTTTCAGTACTTCCGGCCCACCCTTTAAACCAATTTTTCTATTAGCTATGTTATTTGAAGAGCTACACACATACCAGCATAATCTCTATGCTTTCCAAGTGTTTTTCTGTTTCTTCTACTACTCAAAATTAATCCCACTAACAAAAGGAAAACATTCAAGCTTAATGTAGCAAAACGACCCGAAAATATTTTATTTCAATTGAATAAACCAGAAAATTAAAAAAAACGAGAACTAATTCTAGCAATACTAAACTGTTTAAGGTGTTCAGCAGCGCTCTTCTATTTTCTACTAACTTATTTCCTTTTGTTCTTTTATTTTAGAATCCACAAAGCCAGATGAATCATCCGATATTGCTGAAAATTATAAACAAGAACTTGAACAATCGTGCACAAATCTGAATATACAGATTCTTTACGAAAATCAAAAAGTAAGTTAATAAGAAGAGTAGTAAAATTGAACAAAGTGATAAAACATTAATTTCAAAACTTTATTTGAACTAGCGACGTTGTACTCCATATTTACGTGAAAGTTACACCCTTACACAAAAATATGAAGTACAGTATTGATAGTCCAAATGAATATTTTATCATAAAAAAGAGGTGTACGCCTTTTACTTGTTGAAAGAAGGAGAGATGACACACACTGTCCAGATTAAACGAACGTCTAAACTAGTAAAGAAAGAAAAAAGAGATTAGTTCTGCGAGGAATGGAAATGAAATGTATTTCTGAGCTTTTGAGTCGGAACGTTTCTATCAGGCTGATCGATATTGAATGAGAACTCGGAATGGTTTCTGTTGGATTTGTACTGAATTTGTGGCTGTTAAACTAATATAAAAGTTTGCACCAATAACATACCAGGTATAGGCATACCCGGCGAGAATGTCATTTGGTGGTATCCACGTGTCGACAGCAGTTTAAATCTCAACACTGGCAGTGTAGATGGTACTTACTGTGAGACCACGTGGATCCAGATGATACCGTTCCTGTATACCAATTCTGAGTCAGAACGACAGTTGTTCCCAGTGCTTTACCATTGATACCATTTGGTTGACCAAAGCAACCTTGCTTTAAACCTTTGGCAAGCTGTCCACTACCTCCGCCAAGAGGATTATCCAAGACACCAGCAAGGAGGACGACAAGAACTAATTAACTAAGAAATAATTCACTAAAAGCTCAAACGCGTATGCATCACAAATCCATAATGAAAAGAAGAGACAGCGTCACTTACTTTCTACAACAGTACAGCAAAGAAATCACCGGTGATCTGACTGCATGAAACATCGAGGTTTTATACCACAGCTCACTTCCTCACCTGCAATCAAAAACATATATGTTTTGAACCAAGAAAAATATATTTTTCTTGGTTTATTTTCCATTCTAATTTTGCTTTGACGATGAGAGACCAATTGGATTATGTTTCTGTTATTTCAACACGAATTTCGCAATCAGCGTTCCGCACCACCCTTCCGCCGCACCCTTGCTTTAAAGTTATCTTCTAAATCACAGTAATAGGCGTTGGCTATCACTGAAGGCGACGAAAAGTCACTTCCTCGACTGACAACAACAACAACATAGTTATGAAATTTGTTGGTAGAGCAGTTGGAAATAAGTATTTGTAAATCGAATATAGAACTGCTATGAATAACATGACTTTCAGTCTTGAAAATACTTTATTCGAGCTTTCGCCAGCTTTCAGTTGGCATCATCAGGAATGTAATAGACATTCGAACAAACGATGGTATATTCCTGATGATGCCAACTGAAAGCTGGCGAAAGCTCGAATAAAGTATTTTCAAGACTGAAAGTCATGTTATTCATAGCAGTTCTATATTCGATTTACAAACAACATAGTTTTCTTACTTTATTTGCAATCTCATTTCGTTTCGACAAGTCAGCCAAAGTCAAGCCAGCGATGACAGTATGTGTCATCTCTCCTTCTTTCAACAAGTAAAAGGCGTACACCTCTTTTTTGTAATTCGGTGTTTACTGTAACAAAGACATTTAATAAAAACGTTTTTGGAATATGGGACCTCATCTAGAAAATTCATTTCAAAAGTTTCATCCCATTTCTTCAAGTTAATGAGATGACGAGCCATAAAATTGAACAAGGTGATAAAATATTCATTTGGACTATCGATACTGTACTTCATATTTTTGTGTGAGGGTATAATTTTCACGTATATAAATACTCTATACGTCACTAGATTATCGAATACTTAATCATTTGGGCGATGGTTTAGAAGTTTTGGATGTAACATAAAGTATGGTTCGAGAAATTTTGCCTGTTTTCGTCTTAAATTAGAAGTTGACTACATGACAACCGAGTAACTTCAACTGTATGCACCTACCAGCAAAGTGTTTATGTGTAACGTTAAATTTTCAAGTTTCGATAGCAAAAACACGTCTTTTTTGCCGGAATTTTCTTTTTTTGTCCGACCTGAGTAAAATGACACTTCTCTGAAGCGAAGTTGACTGTTGTTTCAATCAGATTTTACTTTAGTTGCATTCGCAGGCCCTCTGTGACAATTCGCGATTCCTGTTCTTTGAATGCGAGCTATTTTTTGGTTCGCGTTCAATGAAAATTCGCGTTGGGAATAACCATAAATCATAATTCATTTTAGATATTATTGAGTACAGAGAAATTTCTTATTTAATAGTCGTTCTTGTTAAAAGTGGAGGGGGTGTTTGTTTTCTTGTTGGTATTTATAACATACCACATTTTTACGAACAAGTAACGAACTAATTTAATCAGAAAAGTCTACCACCTAATCTGGAAGTCTCTTTGAGCATATAATAGAATTACTTTTTATGTATCACATTTCTGAAATAAAACTTTAGAGTTTTAGACAGATATTCTCAGAAAGTTTTGAATTTGTTGAATTCTTCGTACAATAATTGAGATATCGAGTTTTGTAAACTAAATGAAACTATTACCATGACTACGTGTTTCAAACGTGTGTAAACTAATATACTTTGTTTTTTAATTTTAGACTCAATCTTCGCCCAATAATTCGAATGTATTTAGTTCGATATTAAGTTTATCAATTAAAGATCATTTACTAGCACAATTTCTTGGTCAAGGTCCAAATATTAATGTTGCTCAAGAACAAGCAGCTAAAGTTGCTCTATTAAATCTACGAAAATTATTCACCTCATCAAATAAACATATGATAAATCAAATAGTAAACCAATTATCATCTTGTCATACAAATATTGTCAATGTAGTACAAACAAATAACGCCAGTCGTTTTAACGTATTTAACAAGTGAATCCATTAAAAATATTAAAATAATATGTGATGTTTTTTTTTTTTGCTCGTTTTCGTTTCGATTTTTAATTTCTTTCCGTATACTCTCTCTTTCAAGCACACATGCTACGTATATACATGATTAGATATTAATGTATCATGTGAAACATTATTGTCGAATTTCTTTTTCCGGTTTTTACGTTTTATGTTTTTCTTAATACTTTCAAAGAAATTAATCATCGATTCCAAAATATAAGCATGACAAACAGTGAACTATATCATGTTTTTAGCAAGTAAAAGAGATTACTAATAATAGGGTGTACGATACTGGAAAAGCAGGCAAAAATATTCCTTAGTCTTGTCCCTTTTCAACACGTAATGTGCCGGACTATTGTATCCATTATCATTTATCAAACGCTTTATTATGACAATTAAGAAAGTCCTGTTCATCAAACTAGCATCTTTTTAAACATAAAAGTAATGAATCAAGATAGAACCCACGAAACATCGCTGAAACAAACATTGCATTTTAGATGGTTACCAATGATTCTCTTGATGATCTACGTTTATTCCATGCATCTGAGAAAAGTCGTCTGAGTCGATTATTAGAACAACTTGAATGGTCAGAAGAATGTTTAAATGATCATGTATGTGCATTTCGTAGTATACACGTATTCGTTACTCTTGTTTTCTTTAGTTTTATTTGTTTAGTCTAAATTTGTTACTTGTCCCTACAATGCATATCATCGTATTAATGAAGAAAAAATTTATTCGCATATTGTTGGTTGTCAGTTAATGAACGATGGTTATGAGAGAAAATATCAGGTACGATGAGTGTGACTTTTTTAGAATTTTTCTCTTTAATAGACGAATGTTTTATTAGTATTGTTTTTGTTTTTATAGAAAGAAATTGTTGAATGTGAACGTGAAAAAGAATTTTTAAATCAATCTGTTATTAAATTAGATCCGGTAAAATTAGCCAATATACTTCAAAAACCATACCGTAAATTAAAATCAATCATTTATATTTTCTTTTATGATTTACTAATGCTGGTTTTGTTTTCTTTTTGTAGCCGTGAGTGTTCCATTAACTATTGAAAGTACATGTATCAATTTTACTGTGAATGAACGATGTTTAATTGAAAAAGCAACATATGATCAAGCGAAACAATTAGGATCTGTACCACCAACGTTAAATGAAAATATTATTGATTTAGCTGCTGCTCAAAGTATATTTTCCTAAAAATTGTATTTAATAATAATAATGTATTTGTTCTTATATTTCAGGTGCAAAAACATCGACTAAAAGCGAAACAGATTTATTAGCTGAATTACGTGATAGAAAACGACGAAGAACAAAATATCGTGGCGGTGGTGTCAATAAAAAATCTTATTATGATGTGAATACTTTTAAACTGTTTGATATTTACATTGTTATATAAAAATTCTATTTTGTGTTAAGGTTGCACGAGAAATAATCAATAATGAAATGGAATTGATTGAACATTTATGTCATCTGAATCGTTCATCCAAAAAGTTAGTGTGGTAACTAATTCTGTATAGGTAACTAATTTATTTATTTCTTTGAAGACACATGTCTCTTGTCAGTACAAAAGATGAACAATATTCGAGCAAGTCAGATAACAGAAGAAAAGCTGAACACAAACTGAAAACAAGTCATCGAACTCACCATCACAAACACCGGACATCTGAAAAATATTGATAATTTATGTTTTCAAATTAATTAGTTTTTCTAATAAATTCTTGTCAAATATCCGTCAGTCAGTATAATATTGGTATTTCTCATGATAGATATATAGTTTCATTTGCAAACAATAACATTCTCTGTTCAAATGAAAATTTTTAAAAATATTTTTCTCTTTCTTTTTATTATGTATCTCGCAAAAAAAGTACAACCGAATTTTTAAGAACAAAAAGCAAACATAGACACATGAAACTCAGATTGAACGTTTCTATTTTATTTATTGTAGCTAAATCCATTCTATATTTATTAATCTAAAATTTCAACTCATCAATTCATCATCAGAGTAAAAACAATAAATGTTGATAATACTAAAACGACACAATCAGTAGAACACAACCTAAAACCAAACAGATGTACCATGTTGTATATGTATAAGAATTTTTACGTTCGCTCTAACAAACATGTGGAAATTTTTGTACATAAAAGTACTTATGTGAACTGTAAATCAAAGTTGAAAGAAAAGAAGAAAGGAAGAAATAAAATAAAATAAACATAACCCTGAAACACTCTTAACCAGATAGATATAACAAGACAAATGAAACTAAAACTTTTACCATAATGCTAATGAAAAATTATTTCAAGTAATCCTCAATCTACAT